AGCCTCCTAATTTTCGAAATGCAGTTACAGTATTATTGTTACATATATATATTGTTGCATTAAGTTTAGGTGTTGGATGCAAACACTTGCTGCATTGGTTACCCAATCCTTGTCCAGATATTATTACCCTGAATCCTATGTAGCTCAGGCTCGAGTAGTGCTTAGCCCTGCTTAAACGCGGTAGAAGTCGGGTGATTTCCTGTCACCTGCGAGATATAGGAAGATACATGTGGCACGGTTGGCTATATTTGCTATCGTGGAAAAGAACCAGTCTTAATTTGAAATGAAGACCGGACGGAGGCTTGCCGGTTTGCAGTGACTCCGTCTGTGTCGCTTAAGGACTGATTCTTGGAGCCTTTCCTGTTCATGTTGAACGCATGCCTCTCTCTTAGTTGGCCGTGTCCGATGACCGACCGCGAAGCCGAGTAGCTCACCTCAGGCCGGGAGTCGATAAGTATAAAGTGCGCCTCGGAAGGGAGCCGTAGGCGTGAGTCCAAGGGCAGGTGATTTAAAAGTCCTGATCGTCCTGGCAGAAGGGTAATCCCTGAGAGTGCTGGCGCTGATCGAACCCGCGAATTTGGTTCCTGAGATGTTCCAAAGGTGACCCACGGCTACCCTTGCAAAGTATGCCAGGGTGAGAGTTAGGAATACCCCCTCAGCTGAGTTGTAATTCGATTCGAATCGCCGTCTCTCCCGGTTAGTGAGAACTTGACGGGCTTATCTCCAATGTAGATACACTTAATACTTAATGGTTCGGAAATGATGATATGATGATGACAGCCTTATTATACCTGCTATGGTTAATATTGTTTGCTCCTAATAAGTGAGTGCTCTAGTACAGGTGCTAATCTAGTGGACAGGTAAATAATGATAAGCTTGATAATAAGTTTAAATTGGTTATTATAATCATAAGCTCTTTTATGCAACTGTGTCAAGCTAGCCCACCTGAAAAGCCTTGCATGATCCTTGGTGTCTTTTATTTCTGATTTGTCGGGTAAGTCTAGCTGAGTACCTTCTCGTACTCAGGGTTTATCTCCCACCTGTTGCAGATGACCAGTTCTTCTTTGGTTGCTGCAAGTACTGCCTTCTCCCTGCTGGGGATGAAGACTAGACCGTTGGGCGCGGTCTCTACTAGTTCTCGTACCTGATAATGCTTTTGTGGGACATGACTCTGATCTGGCAATGTATTTGAAACTATGAAGTTATGTACTAAACTATGTTGCTTCCGCACACTCAAACTTGGTTTGTAATATTTTATTTGAACTCTGATGGATGTAATCCGAATGCTACTTGTGAAATGTTGTAACGAATGATGTGTTGTGTTGAATCATTATGATCTTGGTTTGTATGTCGAGAGTTGGTTGAAATCCTTCGTGATTTCCGGACTACCGGGATTATGGGAGCTTAAGTACAGGAATTTGATCGCTTCGGTGATTGTTTTTGTACTTACGTTCTTATGATTTGGTCGGTTCTGTTACAGCCGGTCCATGAGGGACCTCGGGTTTATGAACCCGACAAGTACGGTATATATTAATCTAATCTAGATAATCAATGTATAGTTTAATTTCCTCCAAAAAAAAATTATAACTGGAGTAGGAAGCATCGGAGCTACCACATCCAATCCAACTTATTACTGACTACTATATATGTTACCATGCATATGCACCTTACCCAGACACTAAGAAGGCACGAAGCAATTGCATATACACGCGCAGCATTTGCCAACTAGCTAGTAACATGCATGCATGTGCAGTGCAATTCATACAAGTGAATGCATGATCTGTGCGCAACCATCTCCATCTTTGCCAAAATTTGGATAGGAGAGGGTGAGCCATGACCCACATCTCGCAGTAGAGTTGTCTACCACTGCCTCGTCTCCCTGCAGAAAATAACAAGCTGCAATGCAAACCTTTTCCGTTGTTGCCGCAGCTGGTGGATGCATCGATCCATCACACATTCTCACATGCATGCTGCTGCACACATGCATGGTACACGATATAGCCCATCACACTTCGCACTCATGCATTCACACCTAGCTATATGACTCATGCTGCACTCATGCATGGATGTACGTACACCGTATATAGGCCCTATATATTCACACTTCACGCTCAAGCATTCACACCTAGTGTACGACTCCCTCCGTCCATGAAAAAATACCCCCCTCCCTCGTCCGTGAAAGAATGCAAGTCTAGCTAGGTTACCGAGAACAAGTTGGTGGAGAGTGTCCCTAGAATTATATCCACAAGTCTATACAATCACAACTTCTTTTCACACACATGCAAAGGAGTGCACAAGAGAGAAAATGACGCATGTGTCCCTGGATTCATGTCCACTCCAAGTCTACAACCACAACTTCTTGTTCATACACACAGGCCTAGATGAGTGCATGATAGAGAAGATGAATGGGAGGAGCGCCAAAGAGAAGATGAATCGGGGAGGGCAGGAGAGAGAACAGATGGAGTTGATTTCTTTTCTTTTTTGCTCAGTAGGCCCCACCCTAGTTACTTCACAACTACCTGACATCCCTAAAGTTGCAATCTTTCTAGGAGACACTCCAAACTCTAGAATTGCATGCTGCTTATCCTGACTGAGAGAGTAGCTAAATTACGTACACACCACCCACCGTCTTCCGCCATGTTATGTATGTATAGCCATCTAAGTTATTAATAGAAATAACAAAATTTGTTTTTCAAAATTATAGTACAATATTTTGATTCTACGCATCGTCTTATGATCTGCTATACTAGTATTTGCCAACAAAAGGAATCTCCACTTTAATTCTTAAGGCCTCGAATTAACACATTAATTGGGGGAAATTAATTACCCATACACATGTTGATAAATTTACTCACCACTACCACACCATTATGTACAAAATTATCCCAAACTATTGATGGTGGGACACCTACTGCGATAAAACATTGATGAAGTAGTAGATTCGATAGTATGACATATGAGTGAAATGAGCTTCAAGACTATATATGTTAAGTTGTACTGGGATTGAATATCATGGTAGATGCGTAGTTTGCGCGGGCCAGTTTGCTAGTTCATTGACTTCTTTCAGTTCATTTGCTCGAGAATGAAAAAGAATGTTTATTAAAGGATTTAGCAGAATTGTTCCTCCAGTACCTAATTAAAATAATTATTTCATACAAAAAATGAAATGTTGTAATCAAATAAAAATATGATGTAAGAAATTCGGATAACTTTCTTACTATATTGTCGCGTTCTACAAATAGGTAAAAAAGAACCAGAAAGACAGAATAGAAATAAAAAATGCTTTCCTCGCAATAATTCTTTTTTTTTTACTTTAGATAAAACCTTCCTGGCCGCTTCTTATTGGCCCGTCGGCTACTTAGTGGGCCTGTGCGTTGTTTCCTAGGTATCGTCGGCTATTATTGTTGTTTCGTGTGTTACTTTGCAGTCATTGCTAAACCATTGGCTAATTTGCTAAAAAGGTACCAGTTCTTTCCATGGACAGATGAGCATGGAACTACTTTCCAGCTTCTAAAAGATGCATTGTCGGCTGCCCCAGACTTAGGGGTGCCTGATTTTGCTCTGGCCTTCTGCTTGGACACAGATGCAAGTCGAAATGGTATTGGCATCGTTTTTACGCAATGTGGTCACCCTTTGGCCTACATCAGCAAGCCCCATGGCCCAAAAACTCAAGGCCTATCAACAGATGAAAAAGGAACACATGACAATCATCTTCGCCATCGAACAATGGCGCTTTTATTACTTGCAACATTCTGAGTTTACCATATTTACACAGATCAGAAAAGTTTGATTCACCTCAACAAGTAGTGCCTTCACACCAATTGGCAACAGAAAGTCTTTACTAAGATTCTTGGTCTTCGCTATCGCATTGTCTACAAAAAAAAAGGGTGTGATAACCATATCGTTGATGCTTTGTCCCACCGGCCACATGATCAGCTCCATATTGCTTGGTTGTTTCTTCTAACACGCCTTAGTGGCACACCGAGGTCATGCAAAGCTACATCAACGATTCTATCACTGGTAGAGAACAAAGCTTTACTTCCGGTGGGGAATTCCTTTAGTCCCGGTTCCCCACCCGGGAGCAAGCATCCGGGACTAAAGGGGGTCCTTTAGTCCCGGGTCAGGAACCGGGACTAAAGGGTGGGTAACATCAACCGGGACTAAAGGTCCTCCCAGCTTTAAAAAAAATAATGCCTCCCACCGCTACATCCCGTGAGATTCGAACCTAAGACCTCATGCATTGCCTCACGCGTAGCTTACCACCCCACCTACACAACACATCTAACAATGGATGGGATGCTTCCCTTTTGAACTAACCCATCGGGGAACCTTTAGTCCCGGTTGGGATGCTTCCCTTTTGAACTAACCCATCGGGGGACCTTTAGTCCCGGTTGGTGTTAGTCCCGGTTGGTGTTACCAACCGGGACTAAAGGTTGGGGACTTTTAGTCCCGGTTGGTGGCTCCAACCGGGAGTAAAGGTTCACCTTTAGTCCCAGTTGGTTTCTCCAACCGGGACTAAAGGTCCCCTGCCACTGTGCCGAGCGCAGTAGCCGTTGGGCAGGGACCTTTAGTCCCGGTTGGAGACACCAACCGGGACTAAAGGTCTCTCTAGTCCCGGGCACAAAAAATACCGGGACTAGAGCCTATCTTGACCTCGGATGAAAAGTATGTTCTCTACCAGTGTATGGCTTGTGATCTTTTATCCAAATTGGTTCTTTCTCCTTCAGTTGTGCTAGGTTACACTTTGAAAGATACTCTACTTCAAGAATAGGATTTGGCTTGGCAAATAAAACTACTATTCATCATAAGGTAATGGCTGCTCTTCTTCGCCCCTGGGTGTCCAAGTTGAAGAAACTATTTTTTGGAAAGGCATGAAAAGGGATGTGTATTCCTTTGTCACTAGTTGTGACATCTGTCGTCGAAGTACGTGAACACAAGGAATGCAATAGTCACGTCACGTCCTCGCAACCATGGCGCATCACAACTATTCAATGAATGTCCTATGCTATCGAAACAGGCTCCACAAACAAAGAGTTTATAGTGTCTTTGATGACATGACAATTTGTGTACGCGTCATCTTGTTGGTACATATACACCATTGTTATTGTCAGGTTGAAGATCCTCTCGAGTAACTCCGTCGGCTGGTGATTGTTTATGTTCAGCCATTCCTCGTTAAAATCTTTCCACGTTTCATCTATCATTTCTTGTATCTTCACACGTGCCACTTCAAGTGGGACTTTGTGCTCTTTCATGCAGCTTTCTATTGTCGAAGCAACATGTGAGGTCATTTTCTCTCGCTGCGGACAAATATATGCAATTGCTTGGTTATACTTCTGGGAAGGCGACAGCTGTAAATATACTTTGTGCTTACTCTTTTTTCTAACAATAGTCAGTACCAAAAAAATTGCGTAGCTTTATGATATGGTACAGTAAAGAGTAAACCTATTTCTGAAGTCTGAAACAATGAGCTGATATAGGATGCAAAACCAAAATAAATATTACCTCATATGACTTGAGATCATCAGAAAGCCTGAGAATAATGCAGAGAGCATGTACTATTTTAGGCACACTACATACCCATTCGAAAGCTTCTTGAGCTGCCACATCTCCCATTCCAACAAATGATGTGCACGACAAGAGGTGACAAGCACCGCTTCTTGCTGAAACCTGCAAGTGTTCCTCAACGGTTGCAGGGACATACCCTTGCTCACGCCATTTTACCTCCTTATTATAGCTCTTACTAGATCTACAATCTGCATATCATGGGACAAAAACATTGGTAATTAATACCTCATAATTAGTTGTACCTCGTACCTATAAATACATTAGGAAAAAAATAATAAGCAACTCTACTTCACTTATCTTTTTGGGCTAAAATTCATCTTAGGATTTATTAAAATTGGGCATACAACACCATGGCTAATAATGGATATCTGATACAATTATTCAAATGAAATATCCGACCTAACTATTTTTTTGCGGAACAAAAACTTTATTAATAATTAAGGAGTACCATTACAGACAAGAGACAAAACAAACTCAGGAAAAGAAGCAAAAAAGACCTCACTACGACCCGACCTAATTGCAAAATGAGCAAGTTCATGCGCTATATTATTTTGACTCCTACCAATTTTAACGATGTCTAAACTACTCAACTCCTCCATAGCAATCTGCGCTTCACGCACCAGAGATCAGCCCACCGAGCGGTCTTGATCGGTGTTCTTTAACTCTGCGGCCACCACAACACAATCAGTTTCCAACACCATATGAGTCTCCGGCCACCATGCAGCAAGTGTAATCCCTTCGCGGCATGCAACAGCTTCCTCCTCAGCATCCCTGCAATATGAAAGCACACGCCATGATGCCAATTTTGCTTGCCCTGCATGATCTCTGATCACCACACCCACAGCTGCGGCCCCCGAGCTAGGGATGAAGACGCCATCAACATTAATCTTCAAGGAACTCGGCGACGGAGGGCTCCACCGTTTCTGAACCTGTCGATTAGCTACAGAGGGGCACCTGTTCCCCACAAGTGCACACTACTTCCCCTTAGTATCATGTTGCGAGCTTCCCTGACGGCATTGTAGAAGAGAGTCCATATATCGTGTCAAGAAAACGATGGACCCCTCCACAGAAACCTTTTGTCCGGCGCGCAGGACGCTGTTGCGTACACTCAGAACCCTCCATAAGAGCATAAGCAAGTTTGCATTCACCTCTGCCATGAATCTGCTCATGAGGACTAACAACCAATCGGGTCCAGTAAACACTAGGTCCTCCTCAGCCGGCAGTGCTCAATGCTCTCTCATAGTGTGACACAGGGCAACGGCGTGAGGGCATTGCACACAAGCATGGAAACAATCTTCACTCCAGTGACCGCACATCTCACAGGTAGCTTGGAGAGCAATATGTCGATAACACTTATTAACTTGAGTAGGAATCCCATTGTTGGCAATTTTCCACGCGAAAACTTTGATTTTTTTTCAGGGACATTAAGAGACCATAAGGTCTTCCACACCTTTCTCCCATCAGCAGGAGTAGAACTACTGCTGATCTCCCCTTTACCATGGTCCCTTCTCATAGCCAGTCATATGCACTTCTCACAGAAAAGATACATGTCTTTTCAAAATTCCAAGGCACCTGATCCGAACAAGCATTGCGGGGAATTTTAATCTTCAGTATTTCCTCGACATCACAGGCATAGAAATATCTCCTCACCAGCATTTCACCCCATGATCCAGATTGAGCATCAATCAAATGAGAAACCCATCTCAACCTGCAATGCCGAACACTTCCCACAGGTTTCAACCCATGTTCTCTGGGGATCCAATTGTCACACCAAATGCGAATGCTCTTTCCATCACCCACTCTATATATTGCCCCTTGCTTTAGAAGGGCCAATCCATGTTCTATCCCCCTCCACGAAGGGGAGGCATCTCCTGTAGGGACCGTGTCCAATAAATTCCCTTGTGGGAAGTACTTAGCTTTCAGCACTCTCGCACAAAGACTTTCAGGGTGGAAGATTAGTCGCCATGCCTGTCTTGCTAACAAGCCTGGTTCACCAACCGAAGATCTCTAAAGCCCATACCCCCAAAACCTTTTCGCATAATCATTCTTTCCCAGGGTACACACTGAACTTTCCTATGGCCATTTTCTGAGCCCCACCAGTATGCTCGTATATGCTTCATCAAATTATCACAAAGAATTACAGGCAACTTGAAGACACTCATCACATAATTGGGCAAGGCTTGCGCCACCAAGTTAATTAGAACTTCCTTCCCAGCCACAGACAACTCCTTCTCCTTCCATGTAGTCATCCGTTTATGAAATCTCTCTTCTAAAGGTTGGAAAACTCCCCTTTTCAACCTGCCCATAGGTGTCGGTAACCCCAAGTATTTAGCTTCGAAATCAATACTCTGAACCCGCAAAATCTCTCTAATCTGGTTTCTGACACCCTCCTGTGCATTCTCACTCATGAACAATGAACACTTACTTGGACTCAACTGCTGACCTGTGCACCTTTCAAAGACAGTAAGAGCGTGCTTAACTGGAGCAACTTGAACCTGATTCGCCTGGAAGAAAAGAAGGGAACCATCCGCGAATAACAAATATGTGATGCTCGATGCGCGCCTACAAATCTTCAGTCCACCGATCTGTCCCACACTCTCGTAATGCCTCAACAGAGAAGAAAGACCATCAACAACTAGGAGAAATAAATATCGAGATAGTGGATCACCTTGACGTAGACCACGAGACGGGGAAAAGGAGTGCGAGGGCACCCCATTGAAGCAAACAGAGTAGCGAACAGTGGAGACACAAGTCATGACCCACTGCACCCACTTACTTTGAAAGCCTAGCTTCTCCATCATCCTTTATAAAAATCCCCAATCAACACGGTCATACACTTTCGACAAATCCAACTTGTAAGCACAAAACTCCTCCCCATTTGTTTTCTATATAGCATGGATGCACTCAAAAGCAATCTAGGCATTATCTGTAATCATCCGCCCTGGAACGAAGGCACTCTGTTTTTGGGAAATAATCTGGTCTAGAAGAGGCCGGAGGCGGTTGGCCAGACACTTGGATATTATCTTATATATCACGTTGCATAGACTTATTGGACGAAAGTCTTTTTAGTTCTTCTAGGCTGGGACCCTTCGGGATAAGCACAATAGCTATATCATTGATTCTGCTTGGTAAAATGCCATCCTCAAAAAATTTCTGCACTGCAACTACCACATCATCTCTTAGTACCTCCCAATGATGTTGGTAGAAACATGCTGGGAATCCATTTGGCCCAGGCACCTTTAGTGGCCCCATCTGAAGGAGGGCATCTGAAATTTCGTCAACAGAAAAGCCCTGCACAGAGCTTCATTCATATCGTCAGTAATTTTAGTACTCATTAAATCAACAAGTTCAGATGGATCCACATTAGAATCAGCAGTATAGAGATCATGAAAGAAATCCATCGACATGGCCTGCAAAACCTTCAGGTCTTCGCACCACTCTGCATTCTGATTTTTCAGCTTGGTGATCTTGTTCTTTCGGGCCCTCCACATCGCCTGCCTGTGAAAATAACGGGTATTACGATCACCTTCCCTAAGCCAAGCAATCCGAGAATGCTGCAGCCACATCATCTCCTTGCGATAGAGCAATTCATCCATCCTATCAGTAAGGTTACGGATGTCAACCCTGCTAGCCTGTGGATCAACTCGCAAAGTTTCCAACCTATCACGTAAACCCTCCAACTCCTATGAGACAGCACCAAAATTCTCCTTGCTCCAGGAGCGAAGAGCACGCTGAACATGCACTAGTGCCTTAGCAATACCACCCAAACCTTCCTTATTAGGAGCTGAGCACCATGCTTCTTTAATCTCCAGAGCCAAAGATTCTAACTGCTCCCACATTATTTTGTAACGGAAAATCCTTGGTTTGTGCCTCTTTGAACTCTCCTTAGTGGGCAGTGATCCGATCTAGATGACACTAAATCATGAAGTGTAGACACGCTGAACAAATCTCTCCAGCTGGGATCGGCCACCGCCCTATCCAGACATACCTTCACATTAGCATTGCCTTCCCTTCCATTATCATACGTGAAAGGCAAGCCCATGAAGCCAAGGTCTGTCAGGCCACAGTTAGCAAGCACGTCTCGGAATGCAGCCATCTGTCGTTCCAATCTCTGGCAAGCTAAGAAATGTTCATGGCTCCACATAGCTTCATTAAAATCACCAATAAGCATCCAAGGTTGAGCCGACGCCCCATGCATCCTTCGCATCAACTCACACATAAAATGTCTGTCTTCCATTCTGGGTTCACCATAGACAAAAGTGATGCGGAACCAAGGCGAAGAACTCGATTCATGCACATGTACATCAATAAAATGTCTATGCTTTTCAATCAAATGCACATCAACCGACTCATGCCAATACAAAGCCAAACCACCACCTATACCAGTACTATCAACAGCAACATGTTTCAATCTCAATCTCCACCTCAAATTCTCAGCACGAACGCCTGACATTCTAGTTTCAGATAAAAACACCAGACGGGGACTGTTTGCTCCAACAAGAGCAACAAGCTCTTGAACTGTCCGAGAGAGTCCCAGCCCTCAGTAGTTCCAGCTTAATAGATTCATTGCTCCTAACAGGCCTCACCATGAGGACCCATCAGGTTGAGGGATGACTGATCACAAACATCCCTACGCCGCTTGCTAACACCTTGCTGAACCTGAAAATTTGCATTGAGATCTTGTTTGTCCACAATGACACTGAACTCTATATCACGGCGCTTACCAAGAACACCCAACTCCATTTTCAGTGCCACGACATTTTGTTGAAAAATAGCACGAAGCCTAGGCTCTAGGTTGTCCCCTCTGCAAATAGCGACCAACCTAGCAGCTTCCCTCGTTGACATATCAGGGAAGGTCACCCAGATGAATTCATTAGCCGCATATTCCTTTTCCTCACTAACAAAATCAGGATTTATAACTTGTGATTTCAAGTGCACAGATTGTATAAACTTTACCATTAGGTCAGTTATCCCCCCACATTGACCGAACTGTGGTAGATTTCTCTTATCTAGCTTTATCATGTAGACCCTGTATGGATGGCCAAGAAAGCAATCAGGCACAAACCAAGGAGACACATAGCTAAAAGGACAAGAGCCTCCATAAACAAACGTGCTACTCCCTTTTATTCCATCCGGCTTTTCACTTTTTACATCAAGGAAGTGGTGACTGGAGGATAGCAGAGTTACAACAGCATGCTTTACCCAAAGGCTAGGAACTAGTAGACAAACTCTGTACCCAAGACACTCACACACAAAAGCTATTACAATTTTATTTAGCCTAAGATCAGAGAGGAGCACAATGGTGGAACAAGATGTCCGATATAGCCGGACACAATTTAGAACTGCACGTGGCTGTCCCTGGCCACTACAGTTCCGCCTGAAAGGGACTCATGGCTCCTGCCAGGCGCTCACATTAGCACCCGACAGATTGGCGGTAGCCCCTGGACCATTCATTGTCGTACCACCTTCTGCTTCCTTTGGACTCCTGCCAGTGTCCTTCGATTCATCATTGTTCCCATTTGCATTACTTGGTTCATACTGTTTAGCTTCCTTCAGAAGTAGCATACCTTCCTTACCCAAACATTTAGAGAGTGTAGGCCCTTAGAAAAACTTTTTTTGAGTGCTGGTTCCATGTCACTGTCATCATCTAGATCTGAGCGAGGTCGCCCGCCATTGCCCCCCTGCTTACCTTGCTTCTCAAGTGATGTGTTGACAATGATGTTGCTTTGCACTATTGAACCATCTCGTTCTCTACATTTCTAAACCTTTCACTTCTTTGTACTGGTGGAGCCTGAAGAATTGGCTTGGTCCAAGTTGATTGCATCAGCCTCTTGCTCCTTGTTTTGTACCCCAACATCCTTGTTCTCACCATAAAACTCACCTACTTGCTTTGCGTCATTACCCTGTAAATTCTTATCTGTCATGGACATGCGAGCCACCTCCTTCAGAACCAACTCCACACCCTCTGGGAGGCCAACATTTGCAGGTGTTGGGGCGCGCCATAGGGAGGAGGCTCGGGGTTTGTGAGAGGATTGACCCATCCTATAAGGCAGAAACCAGCATCGGGGATCATCAAAGTGTATCGGAGGAACACGGAGGGACAAGCTAAAGTTTAATCTCTTTTCTGCAACAAGAATATCACACTTTGCCTCCATATGCCCTATGACTTGTGGCAGAACCGCCTAATCTAATGCCCTCCCAAGGGTACTTGTCTTCCATTAGACATTAAGTACCCAAGAGAATGCACTAAATCGTGCCGTTCCGTCGAGCACACCCCAAGGGAAAACTCGAAAATCCATATTTTTCCGTCAGGATCATAAATGAGAGAATAAAGCTTACAACATTCTTAAGCCATTTCTTACATCACTTTATTACAGTAGCAGAATATTACCTTAATTGATTATAACAGCGGAATATAACAATGTTACCAGAGTTTTCAGCGGAAATGTATATAACGACAAGTTTAAGCGCTAACATGAGGAATATTTATATACATGGAATGATAACAGGCTGTAAGTATTTTTCATTGCAAAAATATTTTGTGAAAATTTTGAATAAACTCTACGTCAGCAACGTATGGAAATCCTCGCTGAGCCCACCAGGAGGTTTTCACACACAAAAGCCATCTACCATCCCTCGGTCACCTGCAACAGGGGGGAATAAAACCTTGAGTACTTGATTGTACTCAGCAAGACTTACCCGACATGAGAAAAATAAAAGACTCCAAGGATATGCAAGGCTTATTTGGCTTGTGGGTTATTGCATCTGCGGAAGCATTACTAAACGTGCGTCCTTATATTCAATTTTATTAGCAGTCATCATTAGTTCATTAACTAACCATTCTATGTAAGCACATATGCTACTTTCAAGCATGTGAATCAACGTATCACAGCTGGGCACCCCGAAACACACGCCTCGCTTGTACCCCAGGTACAAACAAGACCAACCCATTCTGCTCCTGTCACAGGGTCTAGGTCCCCGTCCAAACTTGGACTCTAAGCCCCCATACTTAGACCCGGTCTCAATATGGTGCTTAGACCTTCACCTTTCTCCGCCTCCAATCAATCGGTCCGAAAAGAGCCGAAGCCCTTGACAAGAGTGTAATGAGCCTTTCTGCTCTCATAAGCAAGTATGTGCTCAGGATAATAAGTCTGTAACTTGACTACCATCCACAGCAACGGACGATCCTCAATCGACACAGGCGAAACAAATGCAACCCGAACCTCGCTCGAATGCCTAACCAAGTCTAGATCTAAAGTACCATTCCGCCTAGTCTCCAATTATCATCCATATATATTCCATGTGATAGTTTTATGATAATAAGAACGATAATATCTTTCCTATCTCTCGCGAGTGACAGGTAATCACTCGACTTCTACCGGGTCCTATAGAAGAGCAAGCTACACGATCCTTCCATACTAGTAAGACTCATAGGATATATATATATATATATATATATATATATGCAAGTGGTTTTCATTCAACTCCTTAAAACTTAATGCATAAGCATAAAATAAAGTGCAGAATAATAGGTGTTATGCACAGGGGCTTGCCTGGGTAAGATATAACCAAAAGTTAGCATTCCATCATGGTGACACGATCATCAAGGCACTATCTTTTCTGCTACTTCGATCATCTCCATGATCCATCGCTGTTCCTATTATGACATACGTGGATGCAATGCAGAGACACAATTAATCGACGGTAACCGTAACACTTAAAAATATGATTACACCTCTCAAGCTAACGAGCTAGCTCTAATGACTAACGTACTAGTCTATGTACCACGTTGTCGAGTAAGGCGTCATTTCCCAGAAAATGATCTAGTTTTAAAATCCTAGGGTGTTTTGGCATTTTATCGATTAAACATATATATATTTGAATTGGAACTCATTTAGGTACCTTTGCAAACTGATTATTATGGAGCTACAAAAATTACAGTGAGCACCTAATAATGTTAGAAATTTGTTGTGAAAGTTTCAAAGCCAACATTATAACCAATTTATCATAACAATTCCTACCAATTTATATTTTAACAATATTAAGCACCTAAAATTAATTAGATCACTCTTGAAAATACTTATGAAGTTATGTGAACCAATTATACTAGTAGATAGATCATGATTTTAGGAACCTAACAAATTTAGTTTCACAATTTTTGGTTAACTACATAAATTTATATTGAATTTACAAGTTTACCTCAAAAAACTAAATTAGAAAACGCTTTAGAAAAAGAAAAGGGCCGGTGGCCATCGATTCGGCCCACTAGCCCCGCGTGGGCGCGACTGCACGTGCGTCGTAGTGGCCCAGTACGGCCCAAGGCCGAGGGCGCCCGCGCGCGTTGGCTATTTTGCATAAAAGCCCTCGAGCTTCCAGAGATTAATGCGAATGCTATGTGCACTATTCCTACCGCACAGTGGTTTTGCGATCAAGCCCTCGGACGTTTTCATCCTCACCACGGAGAGGTCCCTAGAATCCCCGCGCTCGTCGGCACAGAGGCCGATGGCATAAGGCAGCTACGCCAGGCAAACTAGGCTCGCTACAATGGGAGTAAGGGGCCGACCACCATCTACGGCTAAACGCGCAAGGTTGGGCGGTGATTAGGGACTCAGGGACACACTGACGTGAGCTGCAGCGGCGGGCGGCTACCCACGGCAGCGACACGGCTCTTTCGACATGCTAGGGCCCTAACGGAGGGGTGGAGGCGGCGGGGAAGCATCAAAAACTCACCGTGCACCGTGCTACGGTGATGGTTGACCTCGGGGAGTGCTGAGGTGGTTTGGCCATGTGCGCTCACGCCGTGCGGCGGTGCTCCGAGCATGGCACCGACATGTCACCGCACCCACGATAGAAATCTGAACCAACCTGACGCAAGCACCAGCCAGAGGGGATCAAGACGGGTCCAGTAACACGACGGAAATCATGGCAGATTCACCTCTTCCGTGAATCTGCTCATGAGGACTAACAACCAATCGGGTCCAGTAAACACTAGGTCCTCCTCAGCCGGCAGCGCCCAATGCTCTCTCATAGTGTGACGTAGTGCAACGGCGTGAGGGCATTGCACACAAGCATGGAAACAATCTTCACTCCAATGACCGCACATCTCATAGGTAGCTTGGGGAGTAATATGTCAATAACACTTATTAGCTTGAGTAGGAATCCCATTGTTGGCAAATTTCCACGCAAAAACTTTGATTTTTTTCAGGGACATTAAGAGACCATAAGGTCTTCCACACCTTTCTCCGATGCGGCACTGCACCCATGATGGAAATCCGGACCAACCTAATGCAAGCACCAATTAGAGGGGATCAAGATGGGTCTAGTAACACGACCGGTTGAGTCCTTTCCCCACGGGTTGGGACTTACCCCCAACCCACTGGCCATGGCGGCGCTCGTGGCCGGCAGTGAGCAAAGCCCGAAATTGGCCGTAGATGGACCACTGCTGGACCCGATGAGAACGGAGCACCTAGCTAACTTCCTCTACTTCTCACTGACGTGAGGAATTGGGCTAGGAAGCTTTGAGTTGGTGATTATGAAGGGGGAAGGAGAGCGGCGCACTACCATCACCACGTCGCAGGGAGCGTCCCCGACTAAGGTGACTCGGCCAAGACCCGACAAGGCATGGCAGCATGAGGACACAACCGCATGAGCGAGGGCAAGGGTGACATTGTTTAATGCTCGGGTGGAGCCTTTAGGGGGTGCCTGTGCGGCCATGTGCACGCGGCAGCGTGACCTCGCGACGCGGCAAGTCACGCCATGATGCCGAGAGCAGAGCTAGGTAGGTGGGTTGAGTGGCGGAGGGCGAACGCTGCAGTGACCGAAACCACAAGAGGACAAGGCACAGCCCTGCATGTGCGCTCGGATAGCGCCACGGGTCGGCAGCATCCCGTGCACGGCGGAGAGAGGCTGCGGCCATGCCTGGCCCGACGGGCAGCTAATGGCCACACGGCTAGCCAGCGGGACAGCGGTCACGGCCACAGGGTAAGCCAGCCAACGCGTGGCATAGGGCGTGGTAGCAGCGGCCGGCAGTAGTGCAGGTAGCCCATGACGGAGCGACACCGAACGCGGTGACCGTGTCCCTAGGCCCGAACGGCCGAATCACGTGCTTGCACGATTTTTAGAGCGTGCCAAACTTCAAACCCAGCTCGGTGGAGGTTCAACCAAAGTTACCAACCTAGGGCCGATACTAACACCTAGCTAGCAAAGCAAACCGCGCTCCTAGAGAGCGACCAGAGTGGGAAATGGAAGGATGCCAACATGAGCTCGTCACGCTGAACGCCCATTCACGACCAAAGCCCGAAACAAAACCGATAGCGCGTTCTAACGAAGTTAGGGCAATTTTTACGACGCCACGCTAACTCCAACTCATCAGTAGGCTACACCCTGCTAAAGCACTCACCTAGAGGCAACCAACAAAACAAAACCATGGAGCTAGTGCTTAAGTATTTTAGTTAAAACGTAAGCGCCAAGATGACATTGTCTTCTTCCTTTTAGTCTTAGAAGGTCCAGAGCTCGGATTCGATGTTTGAGCTCCCAAAACTCTAGCTAACACTATTCACATCCCAAATCTAAAGTTGCACTCTTAACTACACTATTTTCTCATCCTTTTACATAAGCACTATACATACATTACATTTTGTTTTTGTTTACTGAAATTGCTTTCCGTTTCATGTGTGTTTTAACTCGTTACAATTTGAAAACTCGTTCGGCTAGATTTCCCGAGGCCTTAACCTAGGTGCTAAGCAAGTTCGTAACACCAGAGGTGTTACATGAATCCACAGAACAAGCAAAAATTTGGTAATCGCTCGTACCGGATTTGGACAAGGACCTCGTCACCTGTGATTTCATCGACCAGCATAATCTCCCTCTACAAAGGCATGAACAAGGCGAGCGAAACTCTAATTCTGATGAACTTGTCATTGATGTAGCCTCTTGCGCTGTCATCGATCTTCATAGTTGACCCGATGATCTCCCCGAGATCATGGGCCAGCTTCTTGGTGAGGAGGTAGAACGGGATGTTCCTGAACTGCACCCACATCGGCACATGGGTGAAGAGAGCCGATGATGAATCAGCTCCTGCTGCTAGCCCTTCCACCAGGAAGGTGTCGCCTTTGTACTGCCAAGGTCCGCCTAGGATGGCATGCCTCCAATCACCTTCCTGCGAGAACTCTAGGACGAACTTCCTGCCCGTCTCCGCCTCCAGTGGATTGTCGTCCATATCCCCATGGATCTTCCATACCTTCTTCATGTGATCGATCAGCTATCTTGAGCTCACCAGCAGAACAGAGAGGAAGAAGCCAACCGCCAAGAAGCGCTGCGAGGGCTTGCGTGCCCCGGTCATGTCAATGACTAGGACACGCTTTCCCTCGGCCTTGCTGTTCTCCCCCACCTCCTTTGTCGAGCCTATTGGGACAGGGTGAGCACCACCCATCCCATCACCTTCAAGCGCCATGAGCTGTTCTGGGTGTTCCACCATTGAGCAAATCAGCGAACACCTTGAGGGCAGAGTGGGCTGGTTCTGGACTTGAAGAAAACTTTTTGGAAGAATCTGTAAGCTGTTCTTGGAACTTTTAAAGGGGAATTCATCGAACTCATAACTGATCTCTTCATGTCCCAATTTACTACCTCTAATTACCTGTAATTCCCCTTTCTTCAGCACGTGGGAGGTGGGGTGTTTTCTGTCTTCATGACCTTCAAGATCAATAATGGGGTGAGTTGATGCTAAAACCGCAGGCCCCGGATCTGGTGGAATCTTGAAGACATCATCAAGGATTTTGGCTACTTTGATCTTCAGAACACCCAGCCGTGACCTTAGGATATGTAGACGAGCTTCTAAGTTCTTCGAGTTTACTGTAGCTACGCTAGTTCTTGTTTGGATATCAACCTGATTCTGGGATTTTTGTTGGTTGTTGGAGAGTCCATCGGCATCAGGATTGGTAGCATATAGGTTTCAGGTTTCAAAGATTGGTTTGCATTTGTAAGGAAAATGGACCCTAGGCCCATTTACTTTGGAATTTGGTGTTTGATGACCAACACAACCAAATTGGACTAATGAATTTGCAAGTGTTTGTTTTGTAGTTCAATAGGATGCAAAACGTGACTTGGACGAAGGCGACGTTATGATCCGATGATCAACACCTCAAGAAAGACATGTGAAGATGCATAGAAGACATATAAGGTCAAGCAAAGTCCAAGCACGAAGGTTGGAACCAAGCCGGACGCAAGATCGCGAAGAAACGAGCCCGGTAGAGGTGACCGGACGAGGTCCTATGAGTGACCGGACGCTTCGATCAAGTGCCAGGCAACAACAGCCATCTACAGCTATGACCAAACGCTGAGTGAAGCAGTGACCGGACGCACCGGTGACACTGTTCATCGTCACGGCAGTGTTTTCAGCGTGATCGGACGCAGCACAGTGGACGACCGGACGCACGAAGTGCAGCGTCTGATCGAGTCCAGAGAGGTTCCAAAGCAGCGCCAGCGCGACCGGACGCGTCCGGTCGATGATGACCGGACTCTAAGCTGAGTCCGATCAATGCGTGCGCTCCAACGGTCGGGACGACTAGACGCGTCCGGTCAGGACGTGATCAGCGTCCGGTCAGTAGCAGAAAAGCAGGTTTCGTCCCCAACGACTACTTTCTCAGTGGGGCTTATAAATAGACCCCCCAACCGGCCATTTGAGGACAGTGGAGCCAAGGAAACATACCAAGGGTGTTGATACACCATTTTAGTGATCTCCACTTACATAGTGCTTAGTGATTCATCAGGTGATTAGTGTAGGTGCTTTGCGAAGTGCTTAGGTTGATTAGACCACCGCTTATGTGCTTGCTCTAGGTTTAGGCCTAGTGTTTAGTGAGGTTTGCATACCTCTTACCACTCGGTGCTTGCGCGTACCATTGTTGTACATCAGAGAGGCTTGTAGTCTTACGAGATCACACCAATCGCGTTTGTAGTGTGGCCGTCACCGTATACCGAAGGGAACAAGGCCCGCGGCGGTTCGGCTGGAAGCTTGATAGTGAAGACGGCGGGGAGCGGTCCGGGAGAGGCACACCGGAGACCCACTTGCGTGTGGGGAAGGCCTAGGGCTATCCACGGAGTTGCCCGACCAGGAGCTTGGCCCTTGCGAGGGATTCCTTGCGAGGGGCTCCAACGAGGACTAGGGGGAAGCTTGCGCGCTTCTCGATACCTCGGTAAAAATACTGGAGTCGTCGACGGGAGTTTGTATATCTCTACCTTACTCTTTAGCTTCCGCATTTACATTATTTGCATAACTCCTTTTGCGGTAGAGATAGCAACACACTAGCAAAATCGTAGTTGCACATTTAGATAGTTTATCTTTTGCATAGATTTTGCTTAGAATAGAAAAAGAGGCCATAGCTTAGAGTTAGACTTTTAAGTTGCCTAATTCACCCTCCCCCTCTTAGGCGTCACGGTCCCCTTTCAGCATCGATCTGTGGATTGGTTTCTAGATTCGTCGCCGAAGAGCGGTGGGAGCGGAACAGTCACAGGCATCCTAACTAGTCTATTTTGGGTCTACTTGGTTATCCGACCTAACTATGGAAATTATCCAACCAGATATCTGATATTTGGCGGATATTTGTTAATTGTTCTTATATTGGAATGATATCTGAGGGGATAGTTTGTTAATTTGTATCCAATATTGTAGAAAATATCTAGATATTAAAAAAAGAGAGCTCTGAATCACTATTTGGGTGGTCCAGTGGTCCAGAAACATCAGCACATTTGCACCCTTAAGATGAAGGATGTAGATAATTGATAAACCATGTATGGGGCACGCTGACATGAATGAAAACTAGGCTTTTGTGTTGATAATGAATATAAGGCTTGTAGGTCAATTAATTGACACCATAGGAGATGTAAACTAAGTACTAAATATACTGACAATATGGGAAAATTTCACTCACAAAATTTTTTAGGTAGGGCATGCGGTATTTCTCCTCCGGTGCTAGCTCATCCTCATTGCTTTGGCAAGTATCCAAAATTTTCCCAAAAATGAACTTCATGTTCTCTGGGAGACCTCTGGTGACTGCAGTGTCCCAGCTGGACCAAAGCAATTTTCATCCTGTGTTAGTTACATTTTTTTCTTCTAGTATTATTCGTAGTAGATAAAGAGTTTCATTTCAGTCATCAAAAGTACAAACCTTTCTATACACTTGGTAAATAACTCACACTCTTGTGAAGTTCCATAGACATCATAAGTGTCGTCCAACAAGGACACAATGGCAAGAACTTTTGACAATATTACTCGAGCTCTTGAGTAAATTGGTTCAAAATATACTCCCACCATCCAAAAGTAGCACTCCACAACTCTGTCTCGAGCAAATGATAGCCTTGATTGAAGTTCTAGATCATTCCACCACCTGCTCATTCTTAATTGAACCACAACTACAAATATGAAATGTGTAATAATGCCCACAAAAAAATTGATATCATGGTAGTCTCCATATTTTTTTGTTGTGATTAGGAATGCAAGTTCTGTTTTGTAGACCATTAGGTGACCCACGGCACATTAAATTGAACTTCTACAGATGTAAAGTAAAGAAATTGGGTATACATGAACTACCTGAGGTGGAACCATCTATTGGTGTCACCCAGCCATATATAATTGTGATTCACGATAGTATAGTCCCTCAGTTCTAAATTATATGTTACTTTAGTTTTGTTATAAGCTAAACTTCTCTAATTAATATTGACTAAGTTTTTAGCAAAAAATATACTAACATCTATGCACTATCAAAATATATTAATTCTATGAAGAATTTAATAAACTACTTTGATGTTCTAAATGTTAGTGCTTTTTCTATAAACTTGGTAGTTTGACTAGCGACATTGCTAAGTGACCTATAATTTTGAATGGATGGAGTAAGTCACTTCACCTTGTTATGATTTTCAGCTCTTCTTGATGTTGGAGCTGCACAAGATTATAGTTGAGCTTTGCTAGCTCCATTACCATTTCATTAGCTTCAGTCTCACTTCCATATTCAGCTATATGAGATTTGGCTTCATAAATTCTTACACTTCGAGGAAGCGGGATCTCAAGCACACGCTTTATTTCACTTGCTAATGATGTTTCCATGTTGGGTGCTACTGATTTTAAACACTTCGTGGTGAAGGAAATAGCCTCATCAAGTATTATCTCTCCATGAGTCCTGAGACAAGCAGCGTTGTAAAGGTTCAGTAGATCCCTTGGATTGTTTGCTGCAAACACCCCTGTTCGTCTCTGAACTTGGCAAAGACATCTGGAACAGATAATTCTAGAATTATACTTCGAACAAAAATAATATTTTGTCTTTGTATCACCTCTTCTGGATGTTACTATAGACCAATTTGCAGCGTAATATTTCAGTTTAAGATAAATTATGATGCCGTTTAATATCCTGCAGTGTACTTAATGAGCAAAATGATTTTGTTCTGTAAAGGCTGCAAATCAGAAGTTTAATGTGTTTTGGTTACCTGATGAGACCCTGTATCCATGCTTTCGGAGAAGATAGAACCACATAGCCACCGTTTGAAGATCACAGCCACAAACATTAACGTTACTAATTCGAGTTAGCATATCATTGATCTCGTCTTCAAAAACATGATCCAGACAAAGACGCTCCAAGACATCAATGAGATGAATCCTATGGTACAGACTACAAGCAATTGAAGCTGCTATCAGTTTTGCCACTTGTTCCTTCAGTTGTTCTGCTCGATGTACCATCCATGCCTGTTGAAAACTTGAAATGTTTTTAGATGCATGGCGGATCAATGCTCAGCTTAAAATAAACGAGTTTAGATCAACAAGATGCCACTTAATTTAGATTGTTACAAACCTTTTGAGCGGACGACGTAGCCAGAGGACTGGAGTAGGTAAGGAAGAAATCTCCCCAGATGGATGGCTGAAAACCGGAGATGTTTCTGCTCGCACGACGATCCTCCTCTTTTGGCTGCCTACTACTAGTGGCGGCGGTGGCAGTGGCACTAGCAACGACGACACCGGCGGCCCTGCTAGTCCAACCAAGTGAAGGCAGATGCCTCCCGGGCCCCGGAGGGTGCCGTCGAACCAGCAGGATTTGCTTGCCGGCCATGACCACTGGCGGCAGCGCTCCGGCGAAGGGGCCAACGGCAGGACGGCTGTGGCGTCCACCGCTGCACTGTGCTGCTAGCTTCATGTTCGTCATGAGGAGGAAGGGCGTGTACGTGCCGGTGCTGGTGCTGCCTGTCATTTTCCAGCGAGGTTCTTGGAATGCCTGCTGCTACAATTTGCTGCCACAAATGGCACAACCACGCATTGTCGTCTTTAGTAGTAGCCTATGCCATGTCCTCGGGCTGGATTAGTGGCAAGTTTAATTCACGTGAGCCTCTTGCGTCTGGGGCTTCATTGGTTTAGTGGCAAGTTTCACGTGAGCCTCTTGCGTCTGGGGCTTCAATTCATTGGTTCAGTACCACGTCTAGAGTGCTAATCTTACAACGAGGCCGACAAGATCCACTCAAATCTTGTAACCTCTGTTGTCCGGTTTGGCAAGCAGATCGACACTCAGGGGAAACCCTCGATCTGTTCTTGCACCCAAAAAGTCTTTCTGCAAGCAGACCCTCAAGCCGTGAAATTGAATCTTCTTGATGAAGAAGTTGTCATTTCTTGATCAATGACATATATATATTGTATTCTCAGTCGAAGGAATTTAGCTGAATTCTCTAGAGCTCATGGAGACCAATTACCGACTGTAGTATTCAGGACTGCTCGTGTCCTGAATATTTAGTTTTACGCTTCACCGGCAGTTTTGGTGTTGAACGTGATGGCAACATATTTTAAGGCGATTATTTGGACTAACAACTAGTTGGCTAAACTTTAGTAAACAGGAGGACTAATGAGTAAGCTAAAATTTAGCCAAAACCCAACTAGTTATTAGTCCACTAATTCATAAAACCCTATCAGAGGCTAACAACTCATTCTAATTTATAGAACCTAACAGATATGGACTATAACTAGATGACTAGTTTTTAGCTAGCTATTTTTGTCATGGAGTCGCGTTCTGCGAGGAGAGAGAGTCGAGAGTACTGCCAGTCTCCGGCCCCTTCCCCATCGTCTCCGGCGTCTTCGCCGGCGGTAAGGGGAGGTGGGCCGGTCCCCTGTTCATATATATTAGTTAGTGTTTTGTTAGAGTGCTTGGATGGGTGTCGTCCTCGTTCATGGCTACTGCCTGGAGCTCCTGGCCGGAGTTGCTCGCGTCGTCGTCGGCTGTGTAGTCATCATCAGCCTCTTCGCCCTCAACTCCAGCTCCAGTCCATGCGCGGGAATCAATAAAAGCAGGGATGGGTGTTCATCCATCGCTGCTGTCGTCGGTCAGAGAGGCGTCGTGTCCGTTGCCGATGCCTCGGTTTCGTTTTCCTCAACGCTGCGAGCAGTGTTGCTCGTGGTCGCAGCTTCGCCCATAGCTGCTGCCGCGGAATCACGGAGGTCGTCGCCCGCAAGGTCGTCGTCGCAAGCTTCTGCGGCCGCACCTCCGGCGCGACTCCGGTCGAACCGTCGATCGGCGCCTCCGTCCAGCAGGATACGTGGCAGCAATGGGACCCACTGTACTGCACACGCGTTGCTCAATCATGGCCCTACGTTCTGCATGGGGTCCTCAGGGTGGCACGCGTCTTCTGCGCTGGAAGCACAAGGCCACTCGAACTTCATCAGGTTCACACGTGTGTAGCACAGACAGAGCATTATACTTTTCATTGTTCCGCTCCTCAGTTTCCTTGCAGACATAGAAGTGGCAATGCGTCTACGGGTGTTCGGGTCGACCGCCGACGATCATCGATGCCGGTGCTCAGATTTGACATTGGTATGTGCAAAACCAATATCTTGAGTCCGATGAAGCATATAATATATCTACGGCTCATGATTTTATATCGTGGAAGACACAGCCGATCAGACAGTCGAGGGAAGCGCCGACTGTGTTATCGAAGTGCGAGAACGAGGACGCTCGATGTTTCTACTGTGGCCACTTCTCGTGGGCCCTGTAGCCCCAACGGTCCCCGCGCCCCCTAATGAAAACATCACCTATGTCTACAGAAGCATTTCAGGAGTAGCTTTTACTTGACTGTGCTCTGTAATCTAGGAATTCTTTTCACACATTGGTGTACTGTACTTTAATGTTATATATTAAAAGTTATTGTTGTAAAAAAAATAGTCATAGTCCATTCAAATAGGGTCTTAGTTACAAACGTGTAACATAATGTGATTATTTTGAGGAGCCCTAGTGTGAGTGTAGTATTCAGACTTGCTTTTTGTTTTTCTGAGTGTCTAAAACCGCATGTCGCCAGCAGTTTGTAGTGTTGAATGTGAAGCCAAACATACTTTAGTTACAAACGTGAAACACTACGTGAATAAGTGTTGGATGTGATTATCTTGATGTAACATAATGGCAGGATTAGTAAAAAGAATTACTTGGGTTGCAACATGACAGATTTCATTAAAAAGAATTACGGCTGCTGATTCTTGAAAAAGCGATTGGTAAGTTGTAAAACTGTGATGATAGAACAGATTGAAGATCATTGCTTTTAGTAGGTCACTGCACCTGATGAGACCTTGCGCAGCATACCAATGCAATTGACATCACCATCGTAAATTTGAGCTTTTTTTTGTAGAATTGAGTTGAAAATATGATCCAAGCAAAGATGGTTCAAAACAGAGATGAATTCACTAATACATGCTCTTGTCCATCTACCTCTAGAGTTGCTTCAAGTCAAATTATTTTAAATTTTAAATTTGACTCATTTTATAGAAGAGTACGAACACCTATGACATTAAAAATGTTATTTATGATTTATCTAATATAATACAGATTTGGTATTATAAATATTGGTGCTTTTTTTTAATATAAACTAGGTCAAACTTTAGATGAAGACATAGGTTAACTCATTATTTAGAAGGGAGAAAGTAAATGTTGATTAATTGTTTATGCAAAAAATATATTAGGCCAAACTAAGTTTAAGACATAGGACAACATTAAAAGTTAATTTATTTTAGAGCAAAGAAAGTATACATGCGGATCAAATGTCTGTGACATAGGACAAATCTAGAAGTGTTAACTTTTAAGATGCTAAGAGCAACTCCACCAGATTGAGAAAAACAAACCTCTTTCCCTAAAAACTATCATATAGGGAATAGGGTGAGAAAAAAAAACAGTGCTAGCAGATCCCCTTTTCTCAATCCCCCCAACCTATATTTTTTCTCAAAATCCCTCAAAACCTCCCCTTAATCCTTTAAATAGAGGGGAGCAAGCAGCCTTTTTCCTCAATCCCTTTCCCTCGATCTGTTGGAGCACAATATCCCCCTCGTAGACAAAAGTTTGTTTTCCCAATCCCCTTTAGCTATGAAGCTAAAGCTGGGTACACTATGTTGAAGCTAAAGCTGGAGAGCTGCACCAAACACGTACATCGCCACCAGCTAATCATGTGCCCATAAATTTTGCAGAAATGGTTTTGAAAAGGCATACATCAAAGGATCCCAGAGCAGTGTAAAAGAAAAAGCATACATCAAAGGATCCCAGAGCAGTGTAAAAGAATATTACACATCCGCACCAAGATCATATTGCGCGATTGTATTTGAGATGTGGCACAAAAACATTGGAGGCAAGTGGGAAAATATGACCATAGGAATTTGAAAATACTGCAATCAGACATTGATGGCACGGGGCAAAATAAGCTCTGCTGCGGGCACAACAATATGACAATAGTTCATCTGTTCGACAACAAATTTTGGCAGAATTTCGACAGGTTCAGTACATGAACAATCTAAGGTACCACCACATGGCATTTTAATCTCAGAGAAAAGTAAGAAATATGCATGGCCATTTCTAGTCCACCTTTACTCCAACAAAACCTGCAGTCATAAAAGCCCAGAATAGCATAAGCAAAGGCATCGCAGGCTATGTGTATGGAATTTTTGAAAGAGTTAAGCATTGGATCAAGCTACAAGTTCAAACTGTGTTGGGAGCCACATGCCCAAATTACTAAACAGGATAAGGTATGTTTACAACCATTCAATTGTATCAAAAAGGCAATAAACATTCTCTAAACATCAGTGCTTGGGCAGAAATATCATTTACACTTCTATGGCAAGAAAAGGTGCCCAATTATAAATATAAATGGTAAAAATAAAAACTGCTAAGTCTAAAGTGTTCAAAATAGGCAACACTATATCCAATACAGGGTGACAGCACAGCACAATTAAGAACTGATGCAAAACAGCATTGATGAGCTCGAATGCAAAGAACCTGAATAATCAAATGGTGATATACATATCATGAAACAGAATAACTGATAGAGAACTGGAAAAACATTAGTTGGAACAACTATATACTCCCTCTGTCCATAAGAGTAAGCATTTTTTAGCATTTAAAAGTTTCCACAAATGTAAACATTTCTGGCATATGCCGCCATCCCCTTCCCTCACTATTAATTTTCCAGCAGTTTTGTCCCTCTTATAATATTGATTGATGAGGAGCGTGTCATTTCCTTCCCTACTAGAAATGCCTACATTTGTGAACAGAGGGAGTAATACTGAAAACTAATGAAATTAGATAATGTATATTCCACGTGTACTTGGTATCACTGAGACACGTAAAGAACAGTGGAAAGTTAACCATCCCAAAATAGCAAACAGAAGTTTTAACTTAATCTTCACGAAGTGAATTACCCCAGCCAGCTATAAACTCACCGAATTCAAGCCAGTATCAACATGAACAAACCAAACCACAAAAGCCGAATTACCATTACTCACAGCTGATAGACATGGTTTGCTGCTACACAGACTCAGTGTGCCTCATAATAAACAACCGAAACCACAAACTATGATGTGTTTAACCACCTAAAACTCCTAGCCCATGGTCTACAGCAATGGCGAGTGCAGTCTAAGCAGAATTCGTTGTCATATCATTCATCACAAATGACAACTTCAACATCAACCAGCCAAAAGAGAATGTCAGACGTTTGAGGATCCTAACCTTAGATGCTGCTAGGGTACATGAACACTCTGACCTTGCGCCCCTGCACTCATCAAGAAAAAAAGCATCAGTACAGAGCATCAATTGGGAAGCAACACATCAAACAGCGTACTGAGTGCGTCACTGACCATGGACTCAGGCGGGAGGTTCGACTTGAACTTGGCGCGGACGACGCCGGAGTTGCCGTGCGGGCGGGTGACCTTACCCCAGATGCACCTGTAGCGGGTCTCACTGCTCTTGGTCTTGGCCTTGTAGATGTACGCCATGCGCTTGCCAGCGTACCACGCGACGTCCTCCTTAGTGTTGACCCCCTCGATCTGCACGAGCGACGTGGTCTCATACTGGTTCGACTTGGACCTGCACAGCCACCACCGCAGCCACCGTAAGCCGAATAGAACCGCGAAATGGCCAGATCCAAGCAACACAGACGGAGAAGAAGCGGAGGCGTGGAGCTCACCTCTTGTATCCGAGGATAGTGCCCCGGGCGTAGAGCCTGACGCGCTGTCCCGTGCGTCCCTTCACCATGGTGGCCGCCTGCTTCCTTCCGCTTCCGCCGCCGGAGACGAGAGAGAGCTCGTCCAGATTGGGGAAGACGACGAGACGGGCCGGAGGCGGGCAGGCGGCTTGTATGGAGCAGCGGACGGAGAGGAGAACGGCCTTGATCGTCTCGCAGAGTCCAGCGGACGGTTGTGATGTTCTGAAGGGCTCTCTATGAGAAAGCTAGGGTTTAAGGTCGCGAGCTTAATGGCCATTTGGTTAATGGGTTTCTTTGCTTTTTCTGTCTTTCCATCTGGGCCATGATGGGCCGATCTGGCAACATAGCCAGCCCAATTGCGAATAGGAGGCCTCTTTCCATGTTATGTCGCTGACTGTGGTCCCAGGAAAACGATTAGTGGTCTCAGGAACTTAAAAAAAACACGGGACAGGCGAAGAGTTGGCTGCGGCCTGAAACCGTCCACTGAATCACGCGCGGAATCAAAAAAAAAAAATCCTGCACGCGCGCACCCAGTTCTCCGGCGGGGCCGAGCTCGACGCCGTCGCGGCCTTGCTGAGGCGCCGCTCCTCAGTCCGCCACCTCTGCGGGAGCGGGGTCGCTACGACCCTGGTCTAGGGGCGTGAAGTCGTGGATTGTATTCTTCCTCCCTCGGTAAGTAACCCTACATGCTTAGGGCCGATGTCTCCGGCTTCTAATCAACTCCGAAACCCTTCGATCTCCAATGGGTTTGCTGCAGAATTTCGTGGTGTATGTGGTGCTATAGGAGGCAAATCCATCCATCCATGGTTCGGTTAGGTTCGTGTTCCTCATCTTTAGCTCGCGGGATCGATAGATGCCACGCTATTTAATGCCCAATTGTGGTGCCGGTGCAGTTTGTTCTCCTGAAAAGTAACGGAGCTTTCACCCTAAATCAGCCCCTTGCCACAATCTGCTCATCTATCTGGAGTCTACGCCCCTGCTATTCTCAGATCAATATTGGCATATTGCTACCCTCTGGTCTGTGCCCGACTCAACCCGCGCCCCCCCCCCCACCCCACACACACACACCCGTTTTGTTAGTATGCCGAGAAAATAGGTTGTTGCAATGCTATTTTGCTACATCTTTTGTTTTGTGTTAGAGAATTGCGACATTTGAAAGAGCACCAATGTGGCAAGTTGTGGATTTTGATTTGACATTTTGTTATGTCCTCATTTCGGTTAAGTTCATGTCAGAACAGAACTATTACCTACAGAAGGCTGCACTGGCTTGCTTATCCTCCACAGTTTCCTATTATTTAAAAAAAGGCATTATCTGGATTATTATGGTTTAAATTTAATTTTCTTGAACACGCAGGGGAGCTGTGTATCATTATATTAAGAAGAGAACAAAACACGGGGTGAGATCCCTTACAAAAGAACCACACAAACCCCCCACCAAACCTACAGGTTGAAATAAACATTGTTGTGCAGTCATATCCTTTCTGCATAATCTCACCATCTTACATTTAAATTTATGTTTCACAATCTTGCACATTACATTCTCTGATATTGAAGCTTTAGGTCATCATTGGTATTCATGATATTTCTTTTTATGGTTTAATATTGTATTGTATTGTACCTATGATGCGATCGTTTTGTTTTTTTTTAGATTTAGATGTTTGCCTTAAAGTTGGCTTATTTCAAAACTTCATATTTCCGAAATATGGATGAGTGTGTTATGCCTGACATCTGCTATAAAGAGTCACTTTAAACATGTTGCAACTATGTTATTTCTATGTGCCAATAAAACATGGTTATGTGGGTGTTAAGTGTAACCCAAGTTTTGATCGTACATGGGTGTTTGTTCATATCCTTGTGTTATGCTATAGTTTTACTGACTTGCCTCTGCATGCTCATCTTTTCTTTTTCTTGCAAAGTGCAACACATTGTATTGATCCTAACACAAGTTTTTACACTTTATGGGTGGTAGGTTGTAGGAATCCTACTGTTTTGGTTAAAACACTATTGCATCATCAAATATGGAAGTTGATGAGGATGTGGAGGAGGATGACATAGATTTTAGCCCTTTCCTTAGGGAAGGATCTCCATCTGAGACCTCATCAAGCCTTACATCAGAAGCAGAATGCGAGGTACATAGTTCTGACAATCGACCAAGTGGCCAGACATATTTGCAGAATAGTGTAGTTAATGAAAATACAAGTGACAGTGCACTTCCTCAAAATAGACTGTCGTCTCAAGGTCTTGTCAACGAAATATTTCCAGAAGAAACGTCTACCCAGGTTAATCTTGAGAATGGATTGGAAAAAGACGTTTTAGCAAGCGAAGCTGCTTGCTCTCCAACAGTGCAAAACCCTCATCACCTATCTCTCGAAATTAGCGAGGAAGATGCAATTTGCAGACGGACGAGGGCAAGATACTCACTAGCAAACTATTCACTTGAGGAATTGGAGACCTTTCTCCAGGAATCAGATGATGATAGTGGTCTGCAAAATGTTCATGAAGAAGAGGAATACCGCAAGTTTCTTGCTTCTGTCCTGTCTGGTAAAGGCAATGACACACAGGCATTCCAGGGGACGAAAACCAGGATGAAGATGATAATGATGCAGACTTTGAGCTCGAGATTGAGGAGGCCCTAGAAAGTGATGGTGATGAAAATGCTGAGAACTATGACGACACAAATCATAGGAAAGAGAAAGGTGGACGTGAGGCCTCAGACTAGGCAGAGGCAGCCATTTACCGAGTTGTCTGGGGCTCAGTAGCTATCATCAGGAATCCGATAAAAATAATTTTAGATCAATTCTGCCATATATTCCATCTGCATTGGTGACTCCTGCTCATGCTTTTGGATGGCAATATCCTACCCATAATGCCCTTTCCCTTCATCCTTGGTTTCAGTACCGTGTGCACCTTTAGCATGTGGATTTACTGATCAGCAACTCGGGCAACTGCATGTGATGATATATGAGCATGTTCAGCTCCTTATGCAAACATTTTCCCTATGTATTCTTGATTCGTCTAAACAAGATGTGGCTAATAATGTCAAAAAGATGATAGTTGAGTTGGTTGGCTTTGTGATCAAGCATTGGCTAGGAGTGCTCCTCAACAGCATATCGCTTTTGAATCCCGCATCTCTCATCTAGTTTTGTTTCATCTGAAAATTTGGAATGCCAATGGATGCCGTTAATCAAGAGTCCTGTTATATCCATCCTTGATGTCGCACCACTTGAGTTGGCCCTCGGCTATTTAAGTGATGTCGCAACTGGTAAGTTCAAGATTGGTACATGGGCCGATTTTTTATACTTTACTTCTTTTGTTTGTCACCACTTGATTGGTAACTTTGCTTGCATATTGAATTTACAGCTGTCGTGAAGTATAGAAGAAGTCATGTGGATGGCACTGCTGACAAAACCCGCAGGAAAGAGCCCCTGTTTCCTTCACCATTGATTAACAGTTGCAAAGAAGTGAATAATGTTTCTCAAGATAGATCAGATAGTGTGCCTACAGCATCATCTCCTTCATCTGGGCAGTTGCAGCAGAAGAAATCGTTGGCTGCTACCCTGCTTGAGCGTACTAAAAGGGGCACAGTTGCTCTTGTTCCTGCTGACATTGCAAGATTAGCACAGAGATTCTTTTCACTTTTCAATTTTGCACTCTTTCCTCATAAGCCACCTCCTTCACCTATGGCCAATAGAGTGTTTTTCACTGATGCAGAGGACAGGTGTGTTTTACATCTTCTCCAAGATTTATTTTGAATTAGAATTCGTGCATGCTTCCTTGCCATCTTGACTTCAAAACATAGAAAATCAAGAAAGCTGAATAATTTGGTTTTGTTGAACTGCATACTGTTTTTATTTCTGTATTAGTGATGTTGGTTTATGCAACTTGTGTGTTTACTTCCTCATCTGCTGTATCACAGCTATTCCATTCATCTTTTTGCTTTCAACTTTCATCAAGGTTTCCTTCTTTTGTATGGTTAATTGTATCATGGTTGCTTTGTTGTTATTACCACTTTCCTAAAGGACATCATGTAGAGTGCCCTCCTCAATTGTATAGCTGATATGATGCCTGTGACTTTCTTTTCTCGGTTAATTTTTTAGTATATTATCTGCCTGCAGATTGTTAGCTCTAGGAATTCTGGAATATAATAATGACTGGGAAGCAATACAAAAGCGCTTTCTTCCTTGTAAATCAAAGCATCAGGTATTTTTTTGGTTACTCCTTTTTATTGCAATTTTTCTTCAAGATCCAAAGTTTCCTTTTATGATTTGTCAGGCACAAATCAACAGCTCTTTTATCATCTATTTGGTGAAGATTGACATGTCATGAAATAGTTTCTTTTTATTTTAATCTAACAAAAAAAAAATTGAGAGTAATGAAGGACATGAAACGCCTTCAAGGATTCAGTATAGAAAAAGGAGTTGTTTTGAATGTATTGACATGGCAATAACATTTTTGACCTTTCTGGCATTAACTCTTGGCCTAAAGTTGATGTCTGCTCTCAGTACTGCCAAAGCAGGGTGTTTTTTCAATAAAGATTTTGAAGTCTGAACATTTATTGTCACAAAGGTCTCGTTGCCAATTTACTTTGCTTTCCTTTTGACCGCACAAGCAAGTAAGCTTAGATGAAATCCTTCATTTAATTTTCTTAATGAATTAACACGCAGCTCTCCTGCTTATTCGAAGGGGGAAAATCCTTCATCTAATCTCTGCATACAATCACAACCTGAGACTGTTTGTTCAATTTCTATAATGCCTATTGCTTAGTTGTTGTCTTAAATTGTTAGTTGATCATGATCTTTAATAATTCCTTGTTCTGGGCTTGTGTATTATGCCTGCTGAGTGAAATAATTTCTTTGGTGCAGATATTTGTGAGACAAAAGAATCGTAGCTCCTCCAAAGCTCCTGATAATCCAGTTAAGGTAAATATTTTGCCCTTCTTCATTTACTGGAAGATAAGATGCTGAATTCACTTTTATGTGCCTTTTAGGGTTCAATATTCAACAGTATGGTCAAGTTGTCCATTGAGTTGCATAGTAGTGTAACAGATTAACAGTTCATGCTAACAAATAGCAGTATGTTGTTCTCATTCCATATTCAGTATTGAAGTTTTGGTTTTGAACTGATATTTAAACATTGAAGAGAGTGCTTTATAAAATCCTGTATTGTGTACGTAGTGAAGTTTCTGCTGCAGCACTTACACTGTTGATAATTTTTATCTATCTCATTCTGATATCTGTACCATTTTTCTTATGTGCCAACAAAATAGTAGTATTTTATTTAAATTTATTGGCAAGATTTGTGGACAAATCACATATTTAATAATGTACTCGGTAGCAAACTGGAGATGTTTTTTTACTACTCTCTTAGCGGCACGTGTTGCTCTGCTTGTCTGTGGAGCTATATTATTCAACCTCTGGCTACTAGATTTTTTCAAAGAGCATGTATATATATGTTGTGGAAGAGTTTGTCTGTGTGTTCCCTTGTTCTGATACTGGTTTGGGTTGGGTTGATTTTTCCATGTTCTGTATTACCATGGTCAACCATCAGGATGGGAGATTTTGAGCTCATTGACTGCTTTCAGCAAAACCCAACGTAATAACCTTCCAACTAACTATATTGTTATCCGAATTAATGCAGGATGTGCGCCGTATGAAGGCATCTCCATTGACAGTCGAGGAGAAAGAATGTATCGAGAAGGTGATAACTTGTGACTCTTATTTTTTTCATGTTTGATTTTTGTCGCATAATTTCTTCCATACCTACTGCGATTTCAGGGGCTGAGGATATTCAATAACGACTGGACATCAGTTTGGAAGTTTGTACTGCCACACAGAGATCCTTCACTGCTCCAACGTCAATGGAGAGTTGCAAGTGGAGTCCAGAAATCTTACAGTAAAAGTGATGCTCAAAAAGAAAGAAGGCGAACATATGAAGCAAAGAGGAGAAAGCTGAGAGTATCCATGCCCGATTCACGCCGTGGGCAAGAGGTTAATATGTTTCTTTAACTTGTAGGATATTCAAATAATATCTTAATCTCCATCTAAAGTGATGTCGTTGAGCATAATTTTTAATTCTTTCATCACAGGCTGATAACAATGCTTCTGAAGATGCTGAAAATGATGATGATTCATATGTCAATGAAGCATTTTTGGAAGACACAGATAGTATGCCTTATCAGCAGTCAGGCACAGGCCTCGATGAAGAATGTGGTACCACAGGTGGTTACATTGAACCCCAGAAACTAAGTGGTACGAAACTTGATGTAACCACCTCATATATAGCTTTTATGTACCACCCCTCTGATGGCCCATCATATGTGAGAACATCTTCCACTGCAGCTCCGGCGGTATCATGTGGATCTCTGGACCAACTGCCAGCTTCCCAATTGAGTAAACAGAAAGGCAGTTGTGTGGTCAAGTTGGCTCCAGACTTGCCTCCTGTGAACCTTCCCCCTTCTGTTCGTGTCCTATCTCAGGCAGAATTTTATCGAACGCATAACACACTTTCATGGCACCTCGGATAATGCAGCAAAGGATATGTATCCTGTGCCACCTTTGACCTCCTTTACAGAAAGTGCTGATAGACAGCTAAATCTGTTCCCTGATCACAGGGCTAATTCTAGATTGCAGCAGAATGGGATCTCTAGTGATAATGCTACAGAAGATGGTGCTGAGCAAGATTTGCAGATGCATCCTTTACTGTTTCAGTATCCTCGAGATGTTTCATCATATAGTCACCCGGTTCAAAATCTTATTAATCAGTCAAGAAAATATGATATTTTCCCCTTTGAGAAAGTTCGAGTTGAGAGAAGTAACAACCAGACTACAGGTTCCACCGAAAATGGTACTGTAAATGCTAACACTATCGACTTCCATCCTCTCTTGCAAAGAACAGAAGTTGATGTTCATAATGAAGTACCAGAATATGATAATAACCTTGACTGCCATCAGTCTGATAATAACATGAGCGAAGTCCCAGTAGATGACCAATCAACAGCTGGGCAAGCATCCACAAGCCCTTATGAGAGGGAGACAAGTATTGACTTGAACATTCATTTGTGTTCTCCAACGGTCATAAATGGTTCAAATGACTTCAGAAGTAGTTTTAGCAGATCAAATGTTCAAGATGAAGTTTCTAGGAAGGACAAATCTAATGTTCCAGAGCTCGAGGTTGTAAATTCCTATTCTCATTATTGCATTCAAGAACCTAATGAAGAATCAATGCAAGGAATTGTAATGGAGCGAGAAGAGTTAAGTGATTCCGAGGAAGATAGCCAGCATGTTGAGTTTGAATGTGAAGAAATGGATGATTCTGAAGAGGAGCAAGTTCAGAGTCCAGAAGCCTCTCCAATTCAAAACAAGGTGATGTTTGTAGATACGCCTATTAGTATTATAATGTTCATGATCCTAGTATGGCATTGTATTATGATTTGTTCTTAAAAAATGCCATGGCATTGGAAAAGGTGTTCTATTGTTTGTTATTGCTGTGTTCTGCTTTAACATGCCAGGAATATAAACGTACATGATTGGTTTTGCTTTCCTGGTTATACTTAATTTGTCAGAAATTTTCTTCTCTGTTCATTACTCTTTATTTGAATTTTCCCTTTTTCTTCTATTTTTTATGTGTTTAAATATTTCTTGTTCAGAGTATCTCAGCATCAGATGTTTGTGGGGAATTTCATGTTAGTAATGACCAGAGTCAAATCCAGCAAGGATCTGTTCAAAAGGATAAACAGGGTGCCAGCTCAATGCAGAAAACGCAAGTTCCTTCTCGGTCAGTGAGGGCTAAGCTGAAGCCGGAAACTGCAAAGTGCACAGGATCTAGGACGAGCCAACATTCGTCCACTTCTCGCACAGCTGAAACTAGGCGGAGCAAAACCAGAAATTCTAAAGTGTCACAGGGACAGTCAAGTGCTGAACGCAAGCCCAATGATTCAAGAACTAGAAAAACTCCGGCCCCAACATGAAGGCCAATTTAGCATTTTATTCCTGTGCTGCATGTGCCAATGGCAGAATGGCTCAGTTCAATCTGTTGTCACTCTGTTGTTGAGTTGATTATTGTCAACTAATATGCAGCGCATGCTGGAGAAAGCAACCTAGCGAACCTCTCTGTGGTCATTTAGCTCGAATTGTCATGTGAAAATAGCAGCAAGAGGAGCATACCAAATATATGGATTCTCCAGTTGGATAGCAAGACTGAAGTGGTGATCTTGGCCCAGTATCTGGAACATAATGTTTACAAATCATCAAATTGTTGGTGACTGAGAAAGCATTCGCATGGAATAAGGTTCTGAACATCCATGAGACGATTTCCTCGGATTGACTTGGGAGTTTTGTACCTTGACGTCCTCAAAGGTTAAATGTAATGCGCCTTGTAATTTCAAAAGGTTAGTTGCTCTGCGTTCTTTGTGTGTACTGTGAATAGAGAAATGTATGGAGGCCTGATACCTGGATTTTTTTTTTTGGTATTGACCGTTGACAAAGAGTCGAGTGGACTGTAACAGCTTGAGTTCCTCGAGGGAATTAGACTACATATATGGATTGATCCTACATCCTAGGAGTAAAACAAATTTATCATCTAACGTTCAAGATTGTACTCCTTCAGTCTCAAATTATAGGCCCTTTTGCCTTTTCTAAGTATATGACTTTTGCTATGCAACTAGATATACACTATGTTTAGAATGGAGGAAGTATCTTTTTATGCATTTTTCTCCTTTCAAATGGGGATCAATGGAAAATGTAATATATTGTGAGCCAGCATTGCTTCTAAATCATAACTGATCTTCAATACATGTTCCACTAGCAGCAACTCCTGCAGTAGCTGAATGAATGTTGTTCATGCCTTTGAAATGGGTTTTTTCTGGCAGTGGCACGGCAGTTACTTTGCAGTTTGAACTGATTCAGCAAACTCTCATTCAAACATTGACAAACAACTGATCGTATTGCCTTGCAAGAAAATGAACATGGTCATTGTTGCCTCGCAAAACAAGAAGCAATTGATCATGTTGCTCCTCACAAGAAAAGGAATAATTGGTCGTGCATGATTTCACAGCTCAGATCGAGCTGCTCATATATCTATTTTTTCAATCAATGTATAAAAACCCAGGAAATGAAGAGCCAATTTGTGTGTGGCGGATCGGATATTTGCTTTAGATCATCTCCGATAGTTTTTTTTTTAAGTAAATCAACGAGTTTTCTAAGTGACTAAAAAAGTTGGAAGCATATTTGTTAGGTTCTATCCTTCGGCCCTAGAGGGATGGCGCGGCAGCGGTGGGGGTTCGAGGGCGGCAAGGCAAGGCCACATGGTGGAGGACAATTGGTGAGCGGGGTCGGCGGTGAAGGTGACAAGCACAGCGTTAGGAGAGGGCGGGGCTGCAGTGGTGATGGTGAGGTGACAAGCACAACGTTAGGAGAGGGCGGGGCTGCGGTGGTGATGGTGAGAGCTGGGTAGTGAGGTCGCTAACGGCCTGGGCGGCAGTGGAGGCGGCAGAGGGGCAGCATGGTACGGAGGAAGAAAGAAGGTGATGATAGAGAAAGAGAATGTGTGTGCGTTGTTAAAGCCTTGTCCACGTTCACGCACTAGTACAAAAAGTGTTTGTAATGATGGTAGAAAATGATTTGTACCAGCGGTGTTTTTTTACACCAGTGTGAAAAAGCTAGTAAAAATGCTAGATTTCTACTGGCATAAAAGATATACCAGAACAAACTTATTCACATGAAGGTAACCTTATGTAAACCGTCTGTGCAAATCCAATTTCACACAAGTAATAAAAAAAATGAACTCAACTCTCTATAGAGTGGGATACCTAACACTAGTGGCAAACCTAAAGTAAATTGGAGGGAATGCTCTTACCTCGTAGGTGCATAAACTTGTCTTACAAAAAGAACCACCATTTTTACATTTTTTAAGGGTGCATTTGCACTTGTCGTAACCGCCTTGTTCCAGCCGAACACAAGGTGCATAGCACACGAAAAGGGATTTGGCATAATGATAGTCAAAGAAAATATATTGAATAGTTTCTGTTTTACTTAAAAACAGCAAACTTTATTATCAATCGAGGAAAATGTCCAACCGGTTCTTGGCTTTTTGTTGCCCACGTTCAGCCATTCCTTTGTGGTTAGAACCTCCACAGTTGACTACTATATGTCTATACATATGTGGCTAAACATTGTTAAAACAAAATGTATGGTGTATAATCCAGAGCCAGTTCAATTTGGGCCAAATTCGTAACATTTCACTGGACGGTTCAGTCTACAAATATTGGAGGAAATGTCAAGCCAAATTTGACAAAACTCATAAGACTTCCTTCGATGGGATTCTAATTTATGTCTGATGGAACATCTAGAAGGAAAGAAACCGAAGAACTTTCCAACATAAGGATTTGCAACCATCCTAAGTAGCGGTATTGATCAAAGATGACATCCAACAATTCAACTTTGCAACTCGACCAGAAGCCAGATCTCCTTAGTTTTTCTTAGTATGGTGGCAGTTTCCTTTTTCTTTTGTTTTTCTGGTTGGGGTCGAGGTTGTTTTACTCCGTTGGTTTTGTTCGTTGATAGTACTGGTCGAGGGTGTTTTGTGGTGGTGTTTCTTGTAATCTTTTTGTTTTTTCTTTTTCTCATCTAATAAAAATCGCGGCAATTCTCTTGCCGTCCTTCCGAAAAAAATGTTAAAACAAAAACAAAAAAAAACTAGAATGTTCTGAAAATTTTTTCATGGCACATGTGTAGGAGTACGTTTGTAAAAAATGCACGGTGCAAAAATTAATAATGGCGATCATGTACCAATTAGGAATGCACACATTATATTTTCAGAACATGTCACCACTCTGTACATAATTACGATTTACATGTTTAGAGAGTTTTCAACATTCACCAAGTACTTCGAGTCTTCACAACCATTCTACCATTTCCGGCCGACAGCGACATGGCTACACTGGACACTGCATAAATTCGCGTCCGGTTCTGCTACATTCCAAGCACATAAATGCAAAAGAACTCAGATGAAAACAACAGACTCCGACTACAACATTTGCCTGCCGATAATGCAAAAAAACAGTTTCATCTTGTTGCCAGAAGCTGCTGAGAAGCAGTAGACTTGGAAAGTGGAGTACTATGGACTGAGAAATCAGAACTGCTGATCCACAAAATGTAATATGAATCGTTCAATGATATGACATCTCAAGAGCTATAGCTATTACAAAATGTCATGAAAGTGACGTCCCTTTCTTAGCTGTGCATCCTAGAGCCAGTTGAAACCATGGTGAGGAGCTCACACAATAGTGACAGATCAAGAAATCGGGTTTCTGCAAGAGTGCATTGAAATCTTCACGAGCAACAGAGCTGAATCATCAGTCAGGACCTCAAGAGGGCGGTTGGTTGCGATGTCATTGTAATACGGAAACTCGATCATCTCCAACTGGTGCAACCGTGCAAGAGGCACGGAATCAAACCACAATTTAGTATGAAGAAGGCATTTTTTTTTCAAGAGAACAAGAGGAGTAAGGAAGCCCCTAGGCTATGAACAAGCTCACAGTTGATATAAAATACTTCACAGCGAGTTTTAGCTGTAAGCACAGAAGAGTGCCATGTCACTAACAAAACTAATGTTATGATATTCTGTTGTCACACTTGTCATCATTTAGTAAATGTCAAGTAGTTAACATTTTAATCATGGGATTTTGTATATGTTGCTGTATATGTTGTAGCTTAGAATGCTGAGCAGTGAGTAGTCAAAACAAAGAAACAGCTTAGAATGCTGAATTGCCATCGAATAATTGTGACAGAAACGGCCTAGTATTCGTCACAAAACTGATATATCTGAGTTTCTGAATTCAAAACTCTTGGAGTCCCTATCCAGTTGACAATGCCCTTTTCTTATATTAACGTGCCATTATGAAAATATGTCGTCAATGAGATGTATATAACTTCGCAGTGGAAGCTATCAATTATATATGTTTCAAGCAACGTATCAACAACCCTTCATATTTAATTCGCTACACGCCACAAATCAACAATACTACAAATTTACACATTCTTTGCGGAATAATCTGAGGATTCTGATCCCCACTCTCTAGAAGTTGTGTAGCTTGCTGGAGGGCTCCAACCGGGTGACATTGAAGTGCTCCAGTGTGTGTGCCCACCTTAGGTCCTGCTTCAGCTGATGCACCCCAATGGTGTTCTCCAAGAAGTCCTCAGCTTTGGGGCTCTTGTAGTCATACATCCTGGGGAAAATGTTCACCCGGTTCTTGGCCTTGTGGCCCATGTTCAGCCATTTGCCTGTGGTCAGATCTTCTACACCTGAATATGCATATATACATGTTGCTAAACATTGTTAATAACTACTATGCATGTTCTGAAAACATTTTCATGAGAAGTGTAGTAGTAGAGTAGTATATGTTAGTAGTCAATAAGACTAAGGTGCAAGAACGGATGCATGCATGAAAAATGCAAGTGCGTACCCTTGGCCTCCCTTCTGACCATGTCGGAGGTGGCGATCCATTCGACGAGGTCCCAGGACAGCAGGTAGCCCATGCCGAGCATGAACGGCGGGAACTCCCGGTCGTGGAACGGGAGCCCCACGCCGCAGTACATGTCCTCCCTCGGCGCCGAGCGCAGGGTGTCCACCAGCGCGTCCAGCCGGAGGAACGTGTCGTCGTCCACCTTCATCACGTAGTCGTACGGCCGGCCGCCGGAGCGGGTGAAGCCGAGCTTGGCGGGCAGGCTGGCGAAGTACGTGTACGTCTTCCCCTCCTCCGCGTTCTCGGCGCAGTCGAGGACCAGCACGTCGCCGTAGGCGCGCGCCTCGAGCGCCACGAACGCGCGGTGCTCGGGCGGCATCGGGCGCGCGCAGAGCACGAACCGGACGTCGACGCGCGCGGCGGCGGCGCGGAGCGCGGGCGGCGTCTGCTGCTGCAGCGCGTACGCCATGCGGATGAGGTGGCGCCTGGAGTGCTTGCCGGGCATG